GCGCACGGCCCAGCGCCCCAACCCGCCCCTCACGTCCTCGTGCTCCCCTCAGAGACCGACAGGGCCGTGCGCCACCTTGGGTGGCGACCTCAGGGAAAGCCGCCCACCCGCTCGCGTCCCTTTAAAACCATCCCCTCCATCCACACTGCGAGTCAGCGGCCCTGGGAGTGTTTTATATAGGCGCGCGCGCCAACCTCTCCGGTAGGTGGGGAGGGGTTTGGAGGCGGGCGAACCTCGCTTCTCCGCGCCCACCTATTGGCTGGTCACAGAGACATTAATTTAATTAGACAATGCCTAATTGGGAGCATGTCACCTGTGACACTGGGCCTATGTGGCCTTAAGGAGAGCCCCCTCCCCTGCTCCCTATTTCTTTTAAAGTATTCCCCGATGATAACCCGGCAGAGCCCATGGGGACGGGTTTTGGCTTTCTGGGGCAGAGAGGACTTGAGAGGTGCCGACAAGTCCCTTCCAGTAATGGCAACTCTATGAATGAAGCACCTCCGCCGGCCTTAGCTGAGCAGAAGCGCTCGGCGGCTTCTTGGGCTTCACAGGCCTGGGCTCGCCAATTTTAGGCGAGAGAGATCTTGAGAGGCCGGCCAGCCCCTTTCCGGAGGGAGATTAAAGCCAAAGCCGCCTGGCCCCTAAAGTAGCCATCTCCCTTGGCACACGGGGGGCCTCTGCTCCCATCCCATCCCCCACCCCGATGGCTGGACGTGGATTCCCTTCCTCCGTTTCTTCCGCGTCCAACGAAGAGCAGACGAGGCCGATCCACATTTCCATTGAAATGCGAAGGGTTAGCTTAAGCTCTCTCGGGCGGAAACGGCCCTTGCCCGCTCCTCGCCCGGCATTCTTGCCAGATAGATCCAAGGCGACGCGTCTCGCCTCGCTCTCTCCCCTTCCCTCCCCCCCCCCGGTCAGTTTCCCGTTTTATATGCAACAGCAGTCACGTCGGAAAGTGTTTGCGTGCGACCTGCAGAGCACTTCACACCTTTGCTGGGATCTCCTTTAAAACCAGGCGGGGAGAAGGACGATTTGCACTCGCCTTCTAGATCGTAGAACACTTCCCTCTCCTGCTCTTTGAAAAAAAAGAAAGAAGGGGGGGTGGAGGGAGAAGTGGGGAGGGCGACCGGGAAGGAATTTGCCTCGACAGTTTTGCTGCTGAAGAGCAAACGCGTCTGCTCTCCCCCCACTTCTTAAGTTACCAGGAAAAGAGATTCCAATGGGCCCCAGATGCTAATTCCGCACGCTTTATATGCTGCCTGGCCCCGGAAAAGTTCAACAGACACGCTCCCCTTTAAAAGAAATACAGACCTGCCTACTCAGAAATACAGTGTAAGTGGTTCAATAAGCTTTCTTTTGCCGAAAGTGTATGCAGGACTGTAAAGAACACAATTATAAACACGTGCCTGGGAGTAAATCATCCTTAACTCAGCACTATCTGCTTTTCAATAGATAAATGGGGCGGCACTGTTACAGTGCCATCCTGAACTATTTGTTTGGGAGGACGCTCCACTGAAAATCGAGAGACAGACTTATAGGCACAGGGAACGCTGTTGGATCGGCACTTTAAAAAAAGTAGCTTTGCATTTATTTATTTATTTATTTATTTGTTTGTTTGTTTGTTTGTTTGTTTGTTTGTTTGTTTGTTTGTTTGTTTGTTTTATATCCTTTATTTATTTATTTATTTATTTACTTATTTATTTATTTATTTATTTACTTATTTATTTATTTCCATTTATACCCCGCCTATCTGGTCATATTGACCATCGTTGTGGATTTTATTTTATTTTAAAAACAACAACCCAGGCTAGAAGCTGCGAAGTACAGGAGGTTGTGAGATTCCGGGAAAGCAAGAAGATTAGATTGGAGGAGAAGTATTGGTTTGAAATTCAAATTACCTGGAATGTGAACAGGAATGGCGGGCTGGCCTTGCACAAGGACCGGAAGGCAGCTCATGGGATCCTGCTTGCGACTGGGGGCTTTTCCGGACGGTTTCGGAATCGCTGTCCTTACAGATTTTCCTGGGAATGTCCCCTCTAAAACCCTTCCACAATGTACAGTGTTGTCACCTGGCAAATCTATGCAGGTTTACTCGGGAGTAAGCCCCACATTTCTCACCGTGGCTTCCTCCCGAAGTAAATGTGTTTAAGAGGGCACCCTCCCTCCACTTCTCCTTTGTTGCAAACATTTGCAAACACGACCTTCCAGAGAAAAGCAGACCTCGCATTAAAGAGATACCAAGGCGTGATGGCACTGCAGAGGCCGGCGCGACCCGAGGGGCTCCGGCGGGTGCCTTCTCGCCTCTCTCCGGCGTTCATCCATCTCCTCGCCGCACCGTTTCTCCAAGAAAATCTCGATTCTGCAAACGAGAGAGGAGGGAGGAATGACTTTAGTAGGAAAAGATCAAGGAAAAGAGCAGCAAAATCCGGCGTGATGATATCCACCACCACCCCAACTTCGTGTTTGTTTACAATTGGGTTCAAGAAATAAAATGCGTTTTGGAAGCGAGGTGCGAGCTTTTCGAAATAATGGTAGGGGTGGAGACAAATCCTATTGCCTTTGCTGTATTTTTATAGCTAAATGTCGAATTGGATTCATAGCGGAAGCTTCTTATATTGTTTACATTAACCCCTCCCTTTAACGATAGAATTTGGACAATCAGAAGGAAGTTTTAGTTCTATTTCAAAAATGACTTCAATGGTTAGCCTTTCCTGATCATCCAGAGCCTTTTTTAAAAAGGTTTTTTTTTTTGAATGCGTAATTGTTGTTTTTAAGCATCAGGATCAAACACTTAAGAAGATCTTAAAGTTAGCATCACGGGCGAAAAAAAGGACCTCTTCCCTAGTCTTGTTTCGTTTTATGAGATGGCGACTCAAAAGTAACTTAACCAAGTTGACTCAGCACCGATCGCAGCCAAATGTACTCCGATGTAAGTAAGCACGTGAAGTTGAGGACTGCCTCCTCGCTGAGGTTAGTGCCTTCCTTCCTTCCTTCCTTCATGCAGCTAAAGCGAGCCTGTGTTTTGGTCGGCAGTGGGGATGCCGCCAATTTCCTCCGAGATCCACAAGTTTGGTAAAAGGTAACGGGGCTGCTTTGTTGATCATTCTTAACATATATTTCCCGGGCCGTTTGGACGTCGATTTTGCAAGCCAGCTGAAGAGCGCTTCACCTTTAAAACCTTCGGTCATCTCAAGAGGGAAGAAGAAGGAAAAATAGACGCACTGCCTTGCCACACAGACACGCGTCAAGAAGCAAACCAAGCACGACGTCTGAACAGGAAAAATGTCATGGACCAGTTTTGAGATGACCTCTAAAATGAAAACGGTGCCTTTTAGGACGGCGTTTTAAAACTACTTCAGTTCTTAAATTCGCTTGGGAATAGGTGGGCGCTTACTCCCGAGTAACACGCACGGCTGGGACTGGGCAAGACAGAAGACTTGACTCTCCAGGGCTGACAAAGAGACGATGTTGGACGTCTTTTGTCTCCGCTTCTCCCTAGTTAAACACCACAAAGGTACACACAAAAGACATTTGCTAAATGTGTCTGTGGAAATGGCTTGAATTTGTGCACGGAAGGAAATGGCTTTTGAAGTAGGGTGAGGATCACGTTGCCATTTCTGTTTTTCTTTTCTGCGATCTTGAGCCCACCGCCGGCATTTTCCTAAAATCCCAGAGTCTGTTCGGATTTAGAAAATTAACTTAGCACAGGAAGCTGCTTAAACACAAATACCGTCATCCTTAAAAAACGACATCGCCTTTGTGATCACCATTATGAAACTCCTCTCCTGTGCAGGGTGAAAGCGTGCTCCCTGGTCCTCACAACATCACCCCCCCCTCGAAAAAACAAGGTCTTGAGGATTTCAACAGACGTTATTTTTTGTAGGGATGCAGTCGAGGGTTATAATAATAATAATAAAAAACAACCTGACTCCCATATAAGTGTATTTCCTTGGGACTTCCTTCCGAGGAAACCTGCGTGATGCTAGGGGGCATTAAATGCTCGGGGTTAAATTTCCCAAGAGACTCTTTTCACTGCCTAACAGGTTTGTGGATCGGGCTGTAAATCACACCTGCTCTCCCCTTGTACTAGGGCCTGATAACCAAAGCCACGTGGAGGGGCGGACTAGAGATGGGATGAAGTTGCAGCGGCCCAATGAGCGCCTCGGGAAGTGGCCTCAATGCGTCACAGTTAGAGATGTAAAATTTCCAATTTTTTCCGGAA